TTTGGCCTGTCCCCAACCGTGTCCCTCAGAGCCTTCCAGCCCTTTTTCGTGGAGCTCACCCTGCCCTACTCTGTGGTGCGCGGCGAGGCCTTCACACTAAGGGCCACTGTCTTCAACTACCTGACCCGCTGCATCAGGGTAAGGGACACTCGCAGCTTTGCTCAGCAGGGGCCAGGGAGGAGACCACATGGGCCAGTTGCAACATGGCTTCCCATCCAAGGGAGGCAGCTGATTGGCCCCTAGGAAAGAGTCTTATTACAGTGGAAAGAAATGGGTGATGGAAAGGAGGAATCTGATTGGCTCCTAGGTGTGTGTTACTATAGGGGTACAGAGTGGGCGTTATGAAAGAAGAAATCTGTTTGGCTGACAAAGGTTTGCGAGCTGCAGATATACCTGACACCAACTTCCTGTGTGGCTGAAGGCACCTGGCCTTAGACCTCCTGTGTCTATCTCATGACCCCATGGTAAGCAAGGTACCTGGGGTGACCACACACTGTGCATCACCCCTTACTCTAGTGGAGACTCCAGGCTTCCTGAAATGGACACATGTGCTTGGCCTTTGGCCTCATGCCGCACAACACCCTCTGCTGCACTACAGCCGCTGGGAAACTCGCTGGCCTGTTGCATCCATGGAAACGGCACTGACTCTTTAGCCCCGCTAGCCTACAGTGTATTCCTGCTCCAGCACAAGGGACTGGAGGGGACTCAGGAAGGGGGGTCCCTGCAAAATTGTGGTGACTTTTCTCTCAGCTTTTATTTAAATGGGTTTCATTCTAGATAAAGTGAAGCGGGAACAAGCTTTACAGTGTTAAGGGCTCCCAAGGCCCTCTCATCCGCTTCCCCATCCCTTTCCTGCCCTTTGCTACGCTCACTGATGGTCCCCAATTCTGTTCCCTCTCAGCTACTCCCAGATAGACCCCCCGCCCCTCACTGCCAGCACTTCCCCTCCTCCCCTAACAAGACACCAGAGGGCTCTCAGACTCATACCAAGGTGGTAAATTTGGGGTCACCACTTTGTCTTTATTCCCACAACTGGTCCCGGGTCCCTCAGGCCCTGCAATCACCTGTTTCTTCAGGGCCATGCACCCAACTCTCTGCCCATCCTCAGTCTCCTGCACCTCCCCAAACCTCGGTACCCCTCAGCTTTCCCCACCTCAATCCCTGCCCCACCAAATCCCTGTGGCCCCCAAACTCCCTGCCCCCTCTCCTCCCCTGCACTGTCCCATCTCCATTTACCCCCAAACCCTAGAACCTGTCTCTGTACAATTGACAGGTCAGCATCTCACTGGCTCCATCTGATGACTTCCGGGCTACCCCTGTGGAGAAGGAAGAAGAATCTTATTGTCTGTGTGTGAACGGACGGAAAACAATGTCTTGGGCTGTGACCCCAAAATCTCTGGGTAAGGGACTTGGCAACTCCAAAATCTCAGGATCAGGGACTAATGGATGGCTCCAAAACCTCTGTGAAAGGGACCAAGTGGCTCTGAAATTTCTGGATCAGATACTGGATGGCTCCAACCTCTCTGGAAGGGACTGATCCGCTGTGAAAGGAGGAAGGCTGGCCTTGTGGCTGAGGCGCTGGACTGGACTCAGGAGACCTGGATTCAGTGTCCTGCTCTTGGGCAAGTCAGTGTCCCCGTGCCTCAGTTTCCCCATCTAATTACTGCGATGGGGGCCATATAAATACCTGGATTGACAGCCTGGTTGGGTCTGAAATTTCTGGAAAAGGAAGATGATGGCTCTGAAACCCTGCAGGGGTCTGGGCGGCAGAATCTGAAGACCTGACCCTGCACTCCCCTCCTCTCCATCTTGCCCTGCCGCATTTGGTGTAGACATTGGCACCGAGGGGTTGGAAGGCCACTGCAGAGCTGTGCTAAAGTGCTAGCCTGCACAATGTGACTTGAGCTCTGCCCTCTTTAGAGAGGTTTCCATGTAATCAAAGCAGAACACCAAGCGAATGACACTGACACCTCTGTAGCTGCAGTGCCTGGCAGAACACTTATCCTCCTTTGTTTCAGGTAATGTGGATTTCTCAGTGAGCGCTGAGGCCCTGAAGACAGATCTGCCCTGCGGGAACGAGGTAGTGGAGACCCTGGACAAAGGGCGGAAGGACACAGTGATCAAACAGCTGTTAGTGGAGGTAGGTGGGCTGTTTGGTCTCTGTGGTGTAGAGACGCCATGATAACTTACTGCAGTGTCGTGACAACTGATATAATGCTGCAGGTCTTCTTGGTTTTATAGGGAAGCCATAATGACTTAATATGATCTCAGCAATAACACGTTCTCTAACGCTGTAAAGGGAAGCCTAACCAAAAGAAGGCTGAGGAGAGATATGATTGCTCTCTATAAATATAAGAGGAATAAATACAAGGGAGGGAGAGGAATTATTTAAGCTCAGTACCAATGTGGACACAAGAAAAAATGGATATAAACTGGCCATCAGGAAGTTTAGACTTGAAATTAGATGAAGGTTTCTAACCATCAGAGGAGTGAAGTTGTGGAACAGCCTTCCAAGTGGGGGCAAAAGACATATCTGGCTTCAAGGCTAAGCTTGATAAGTTTATGGAGGGGATGGTATAATGGGATAGCCTAATTTGGGCAATTAATTGGTCTTTGACTATTAGCGGTAAATATGCCCAATGGCTTGTGATGGGATGTTAGATGGGGTGGGATCTGAGTTACTACAAAGAATTCTTTCCTGGGTGTCTGGCTGGTGAGTCTTGCCCACATACTCAGGGTTTAGCTGATCGCCATATTTGGGGTTGGGAAGGAATTTTCCTCCAGGGCAGATTGGCAGAGGCCCTGGCGTTTTTTCGCCTTCCTCTGCAGCATGGGGCACGGGTCACTTGCTGGAGGATTCTCTGCACCTTGAAGTCTTTAAACCATGATTTGACGACTTCAATGGCTCAGACATAGGTTTGATACAGGAGTGGGTGAGTAGATTCTGTGGCCTACATTGTGCAGGAGGTCAGACTAGACGATCATAATGGTCCCTTCTGACCTTAAAGTCTATGATTCTATAACTTCTTACAGAAAAATATTGGTATCTTGTTACACCGTGTGATTGAAATAATAAGCAAAGGTGATAAGTTTCTCACAGCCGTGTCTTTTGGGACAGAAACCAAAGGAGAGTCCAAAGGAGAGCAACAAAAATGATAAGAGGTTTAGCAAACCTGACATATGAGGAAAGGTTGAAAGAATTGTGCATGTTTAGTCTAGAGAAGAGATGGCTGAGGGGAGAACAAGATAACAGTCTTCAAATATGTGCTATAAAGGGAATGGTGATCAATTGTTCTCCATGCCCACCAAGGATAAAACAAGAAGTAATTGGCTTAGATTGCAGCAAGAGAGATTTAGGTGTGATACCAGGAATAACTTTCTAACTGTAAGGGTAGGTAAACACTGGCCCAGGTTACCTGGGAAGGCTGCGGATTCCCCATTATTGCAGGTTTAAGAACAGTTTGGACAAACACCTGTCCAGGATAGTCTAGGTGTACTTGGCTCTGCCATATTCTGAGCGGGATGGATTAGATGACCTCTCAAGGGCCCTTCTAGCCCTACATTTCTATGATTCTGTCCTGTTACAGTCAATCTGTTTTGGCTTTTGCTTTAAAGTTATCCTATATGCCAAGTGAAATTTGAATGATAACTTGGCTACTTTTTCAATATATAGGGATCCAAAGAAATGTGAAACACTCCACACAAAAATTCAAAATAAGTGATTTCTAAACCTCTTCATCTGAAGAAGTATTCACTTTGCTTCTGTCACATTAGTGGAAATGTCCAACTTCATCTTTGGCGGATCTGACAGTTCTGGAAACACAGAGATTTATTTTTCTTAGAATTATGAAGGAGATGAAAATTGGGCTTAAAATAATAGGAGCCTCGTGCAGGGGCGGCTCCAGGTACC